CGCGAGGCCGAGGCCACTGGATGTGGACAAACATGTGGCCTCCATAGGAGCCAGATGCTTGTCCATATCCAATGCGCCTCGGGGTTCTGGGGAAGGGAGCCCGGAACTCCAGGCTGCAGTGGATACGGAAGCAAGCGTTGCCCGCACTCTTGCCGAATCGTTCTCGACGGTGCTGGGGCCCTGGCGAGGGCCCCCTTCGAGGCGGGATTTTTATCCGTGCACACCGCCTGCCGAGGCCCCCGACGAAAATCGAGCACCCGGGCGGCGGCCATGGGGAAACCCAGAGGTACGGACACCGCTGCAGTCGGGGTGGAATGCCGAGGACACGCGAGAGGACACGAGACCCTGACGATGGCCACGTTGCCCGTGGAACATAGAGGGCATGGGTCGCGAGACACAGGACACAGAAGGTACGAATATCGCTACAGTCGGGATGGACGCAAGATGAGACACGCGAGATGACACGAGACCCTTCCGATGGCCACGTTGCCAGTGGAACATAAGAGGTCATGGGTCGCGAGACACAGGACACAAGGGTACCCTTGTTTGGGCAGGGTCGACCTACGAATCAAGCTCGACTGTACTCCCCGTACCTCTCAAGGGGTGCGTTCTGACCAGGATTTCGAGGCGAATCCAGCGGTGGCGACGAGGGCCTCCCAGGAGGGCCCAAAAAGAAAAACAACGGGGGAAGTGTAACAGTATCAGTACATCTTCCTCCTCTTAGAACATGAATCCCCCAGGCTGCGGTTAAGGAAAAATTCCCGCATCGAACCCAGAGGCCGAAAAAACACCAACTACTTTCATTCGTGCTTTCACGGCAACCTCTGTGGACCGCCGTGGCCCTCTCCTGAGCTTGACTTCGGCCGGACTTCGTCCAGAGTTCGACCGCCCTCTTCACCCTTCCGTCCAGATTTCGTCAAGATTTCAAGCATACTCGTCCAGATGTTGTCGAGATTCCTTTGCCCCTTCGTCCAGACTTCGATCCTTCGTCCAAATTTCGTCCAGGTGTCAAGCTAAAATGAAAGGAAATCTGGACGAGCCCCCCAAAACCGCAAAGAACTTTGGACCCTCTGAGGCCCCATGAAGGTTCGCGGCGCGCACAAGGGGCCAGGGGGAGGGAAGAAGGCGTCTTAGAAGGAGGCTGCTCCTTCGACCAACACTTACAAACAAGGCCCGCGCCTTCTAAGAAGCAGCCTCCTTGTAAGAAGCCGTTCCCCCTCCCCCAACTCCGATCTTCTTGATCACCGTCGGGGGGGGGGGGCGTCATCCCCGCCGACAGCCCCACATCGACCCACGTCGCGGCGCGACGACGAGGCGAGGCTGACCCCCGTCGTGGGGGGTACCCCCCCACGCTTGTTATGAAAACCCAGAGAAGCCTTAGGTCGGGCCTGGCGAAAAACAACAATAGTGAGAAAAACAATAAAAAAGTCAAAAATAGTCAAACGTTCGTCCCCAGACATTTTTTTTTTACTATTTTTGAATATCCCTCAAGTACGAGGGACAGGCCCGCCTTAAGAGTAGCCCCCCACTGCGCGTGGCCGAGAAGGACCCCCGTCGGGGGGGTACCTCCTCCTCCTCCTCCTCATCCTCCTCCTCCTCCGCCCCCTCCTCCTCCTCCTCCTCCTCCTCGCCCTCCTCCTCCTCCTCCTCCTCCTCCTCTTCCTCCTCCTCCTCGACTTCCTCCTCCTCCTCCTCCTCCTCCTCCTCCCCCTCCTCCTCCTCCTCCTCCTCCCCTCCTCCTCCTCCTCCTCCGGACCTCCTCGGGACCTGGGGGAGGAGGGCGATGCCTAGGAGGGGGAGGGAGAGGAGGAGGAGGAGGAGGAGGAGGGAGGAGGAGGAGGAGGAGGAGGAGGAGGAGGAGGAGGAGGAGGAGGAGGAGGAGGAGGAGGAGGAGGAGGAGGAGGGAGGGGGAGAGAGGAGGGGGAGGAGGAGGGGCGGAGGAGGGGAGGAGGAGGGGAGGGAGGGGAGGAGGGGAGGAGGGAGGGGGCGGAGGAGGTGAGAAGGGAGAGAGGGGGGGAGGGGGCGAGAAGGGGCAAGAGGAGACGGGAGGAGGGGGTTAAGGAGGAGGGGAGGAGTGGCGAGGGAGGCACCCTGGAAGTGGGAGGAGGAGAGGAGCAGGCGGAGGAACACAACAGCCACGTAAAGGGCGCGAGAAAAGGGCAGCGGCCCAAGGCACCGTGCGCCCTTCGGCCGCGCCTCGGGGAATCGCGACACAGGTGGCAGCACGGACAGGTGGCGTAAAATGTCGCGCTGATTGGAGATCTCCAGCAAGACCTAGAAGAATGCTCACATGCTGGTGTCTCTCGACTCAGACCGTGTAGACGCTGGCAAATCGCCCGCATGTGCGAGCTGCGGTGATAACACTTAATGCGACAACAGCGATCGTGATGATGGGATTCGTGTTTCAATTGAATGTAATCCAGCTATCCGCTTCCGCTGGGGTTTTCAAGCCATGCCTGGCGCATCCTGTTACCGCAGGTATTGTTGCATGTGAAGTGTTGCGAACAACGTTGATTGGTACCTCTCTCCTGATCCCCTCGACAAGACTCCTCTCTGACCCCCGGAGTCGGAGAACGGCACCCTCTGGGATGCCTTGCGATTCCTGGCCAACCATGAACACAGCGCGGGGCCTATGTACGATGGATCCTCGCGTCCAGGGCTACCACCCCTCGTGGAAAACACCCGCCACGGTGCCGTGCAGTAGGCACACCGACGAATCATTCGAGTTCTCTATGGAAGACTGCACGTGCTCTTTTATTGAGGGCCAGAAACCCCGGATTCCTGGACTACCGGGGCTCCCCGCCGTTATCAGGGCCACCTGGTGGACGCGTGGCTGGGAGCTTCAAGATGGCCACAAGGGAAGGTCCTGGGGCTCTCTTGGGGACCTGTTGGGCCATCTTGGAGGATCTGGCGGCTGGCCCAAGTGGCCAGAATCAGCCATATGATTCTCGCATACTCGCCTTCGATCCTACAGTCAACCCGCAGAGTAAGGATGCGCGATAAGGATGCAAGGCCCTTGGACGCCCATTTCGAAGCGTTTCGAGCGGGGCGCGGCCAACGAAAGTGTCCAAGGATGGACCCAGGAAGCAAGGATGCAAGGGTACCCTTGGGAGGGATGCCTATCCTTACTCTGCGGGTCGACTGTACGTAGGAGCGTCCAAGACGGCCCATCAGGCAACCAAGAGAAGCCCGAAGATGGATCAAGAAGCCCACAAGATGACTGACCCCAAGAGGCTAAACTCGAAATGTCGTTCGGAATCCCCCACCCCTACAAGACCCCTCAGGGAGCAGGCAAGCCCCAATGTTCTTTCCCGAGTAATGGCCGTTACGGGGGGGGGAAGCGGGAGGGGGGCGCACGGGAGGGTAATGGTAACGGCGGCCGCGGCCTGCACCCGCCAGGGTGCGTCCGCGCCACCAGCGCATCAATCGCCTGTGTCCACTACAATCTCTGTGTACACGACAATGCCCAATGCCTATGTGCAACACAGCACCGCCAATGTACACCAGTGCCTCCGAACACCACAACAGCCGCGTGCCCCGCAGCACCATGTTGTCTATGTACACCGCAACGCCTGTGTATACTGCAGCAGCCTCGTGCGCAACAGCGACCCTGTGTAAACAAAACTGCCTGCGTGCACCAGAGCGCTTGTGTACACCACGGCGCCGGTGTACATGATAGCAACCATTTGTCCTGCATCGCCTGTGCAAGCCACAATGCCTCCGTGCGCCACAGTGCCTGTGTACACAAAAACGCCAAGCGTGCCAGCGGGCAAATTAATAGCTTGCGAGGCCTCTTCGCGGGGCTCGTCACAGACCACGGAGGCCCTCGGGACTCGTCGTTCACCTTCTCCTCCTACACCTCCTCCTCGTCCAACTCCTCCTGCACCTCATCCTCATCCATCTCCTCTTCCTCCTCGCCCCGTCGCCGCAGTCAAAACCATGAGGCACCCACCGGGAACGACCCCTCCTCCTCCTCCTCATCCTCCTCCTGCAATTGGTCCTCCGCATCCTCCTCCTCTGCCCTTTTGCGGGACTCCTCCTCCTCCAGCTCCTCCTCCTCCCTCCTCCTCCTCCTCCTCCTCCTCCTCCTCCTCCTCCTCCTCCTCTCCGAGCAGGGCACCAACGAGTCCGTCTGACCTATGCGCACCGAAATCGCCTGCAAGCGCCACAACACGCATGTGAGGACCGAAACATGCTTTCCAGCACCACGCCTTGCCTGTGAGCTCGGCGTTGCAACAGGTGGGGAGCCTGCGAACGCCACGACACGTTTGTGCGCACCAACGCATGCCTTTCAGCACCACGCCCTGCCTGTGAGAACAGCGGCATACCTAGGGGGGGGGTCGCCCCCCAGCGCGTAGGGGAAGGGGTCCAAGACAGCACCCAAAATGATCGTTAGAGTTACATGGGGGGGAGGGGGGTTGGCCCAGGTTTCGAGCGTTACATTGGGGAGGGGGACAAAAAAAGCTCACCAAGAGGCCCCCAAGACGCCCACAGGAGGCTCCGAAGCGCCCCCAATACGCCTCAAAGAGGCCTCCAAGATGCCACCAAGAGGCTCCCCAAGGGGCATTCAAGATGTCTCTTGCCCGCGACCCATGCAAGGTGCGGGGGTGGGCCGAAAGCTACCAGAGCAGCCGCCCCCTGTGCTTGTCGCAGAACGTGCTTTGTGAGCCGACATGTGGAACGCTCGCTTGGCCCTTGCACAAAGTGTCCACCAGCTCTTCGGCCCGTCCCGCCGCCCCGCGCGGGACCCTAGCAATAGTGGACTCCCGTCTTGCTTTGTTGTCAACCCCAAAGAACTCCAAGATTGTCCTGGTCGCCATCAAGTCCTCCCAAGATGGCCTACGCGGCCTCCCAGATGACACAAGGAGGGCCGAGGCTGCCCCCAAGACAGCGCGCGAGGCCGTCAAGGGGGCCCCGAGAAGCCCCGAGCACTCCCCAAAAAGGGCTCCCAGAAGACCCCCACGAGGGACTCGAGGGCTCCGTTGGTTTGTCGATGTGATCCGCGATCCCACGTCGAAATCCACAACGCTTGGACCTCCCAAGAATTGCGGACCGTGGGATTGTCTGGAGGGTCTCTGGCGGATCAATTCCAAGATGCCACCCGCGCATGGAACACAATTCAATACTCGATCCACGCATACATGTTACAACATTTCGCTGAAGGGCAAGAGAAACCTTCACTGAAAGGGAACAAAAACTGTGACTGCAGCAACCGCTCGCGCTACCTTCGCAACAGACAGCCACGAACTATGGGAGTGACTGCAGCGCGTCTGGCAGCGCCGAATCGGTTGTCGGCCCACTTGTCGCTAGCGCGCCCTGGCATTGGAAAGGCGGCGACAATAGCAATGAGCAACATGTTAGGACTGACCGATTGAGACTGGCACTGTGAAAATCCGCTGGCCCCCTCGTGCGGCCACCAGGCTGCGAGGATGAGGGTTGCAGGGCCCTGCGCCAGTTCAAGTGTGCGGTTTCCATGTCGCAGTCCTGCTTTCTGCTTCCCAACTGTAAAACTGTGGAAGTCCGCGCGAGGGGGGGGATCCGAGAAGGACCCGGCTACCGTCCCCGAGTCGCGCTGTCTGAATTCCTGCGGGGCCGTGCCGAGGAGCATGTAAAAAATACATGAGATGCGCGCCCCCGACGCAATAATCGGTAGCAAAATACACTGTATTCGCGTCCCCGAGGCCACGATCCGTTTTAAATTGTGCCGCAGTCGCGTCCCGAAGCCACGATCCCTCGCAAAATCCGCCACACTCGCGCCCCGGAGGCCACGATCTCTTGCAAATCACGCTACAGTCACGCCTCTGGAGCTACGATCCCTCGGGCCACGATCTTTGTAAATTGCACAAGATTCGCGTACCCGATGCCACTACCCCTCGCAAATTACATGTCTTGCGTCCCCGAGGCATCAGACCCTCGTAACCTACGCAGATTTCGCGCCCCCGAGGCCATGAACCCTTACAACTGATACAATGCTTGCATCCCCGAGGCAACAACCCTTCGTAAGTTACTCATGTGTTGCGTCCCCGACGCAACACGTTTTCGTAAAGTAAATAGTGATCGCGATCCCGAAACCAGAATCCATCGTAAATTCTACGACGCTTGCGTCACCGAGGCCCCAAACCCTAGCAAATTGCTCAATACTCGCGTCCCCGAAGCCAGACCCCAGTGACAATTTACAGAATACTCGCGTCCCCGAAGCCACAAACACTGCAGGTTGCTAAAGCCTTGAGCCCTCGAGGCAACAAACCTTCGTACGTTTGGTCAATATTCGCGTCCACGTGGCCATACACCCTTGCAAACCATATTCGCATTACCGAGGCCAAGATTGCTCCAAGGCGCCCGAAGATGGTTCCAAGACGGCCCACGAGGGCCCCAATTGGCCCCGAGAGCGCTCCAAGAGGTCTCCCAGGAAAGCCCCAAGAGGCCAACATCGTCGAATTTGGGGTTCTCGCATTTTCGGCGTTCCGACGCTCGAAGATGGCTCAACAAGGTCCCAAGACCGCCACAGGACAGCCCAAGACGCCTCCAAGAGGGCAACAAGACGGCCCGAGAGGACTCCAAGATGGCCCAAGAAACGCTGCGAGAAGCCCCCAGCAGGCCCGAAGAGGAGCCCAAGACGCGCCAAAGAGGCCTCCAAGAGGCCCAAATAATACCCCACGAGGGCCCAAGAGGCCCCCGAAGAGGCGCCGCACCGCCTCGAAGCGGCCCCCGAGAGGCTCCCCCACGACACCCTAACACATATACAAGAGGCATCAGACCCACAACCCAGACACGGTGGCGGGATGGGCCGAAGGCCACTAGGATCCGCCGCACCCTGTTGATTCATCACAGGGGTGCCTGGTGTGCTGAATCCTCTCGGATTTGGTTTTGATTCTTTTTCCAAAAGAACTCCCCCTGGGGCTTCGGCCCGTCCCGCCGGCCATCCGGAAGACGCTCAATTCCCCAATGTTTCGCTCAAGATGGCCCAAGATGGCCTCCAAGATGGCCACGTTGGCCCAAGATGGCCTCCAAGATGGTCCAAGATGGCCTCCAAGTCCGCCCAAGATGGTCCAAGACGGCCTAAGAGACTCCAAGACGGCCCACGATGGCCCAAGAGGCCCCCCAAAGGCCTCCAAGAGGTCCTCCAGGAGGGCCCGAAGAGGCCAAAAACACTGATTTCCCATGCGGTTTTGAAGGATTCTGGCATTCGCTTATTTTCGGCTTTCCGACGACGCAAGACGGCCCAAGGGGCCCCCAAGATCGCCCCCACAGCGCCCAAGAGGCCTCCAAGATGGCCTCAGGACTGCCCAAGAGGCCCCCAACACGGCCTCAAGAGGGCACAAAGAGGACCCAAGAGGCCCCCAAGACGCCCAAGATGGCCTCTAAGACGGCCCTAGAGCACCTCAAGAGGGCCCCAAGTCGGCCCAGAAAGGCACCCCAAACGGCTTCCGACGGCGTCAGACGGGCCAGGAGCCCACCAAGATGGCCGAAGTTGTCTCGAAGCCGGCCCAAGACGGCCCAAGAGGCCTCCAAGATGGCCTCCAGAAAGGCCAGAAAAGGCCCAAAACACTGATTTCCCATAATTAGGTTTCCGACGGATTCTGACATTTGCTTCGTTTCGGCCTTCCGACAGCCCGATACGGCCCAAAAGCCCCCAAAGATAGTCCAAGAGTCCAAGAGGCCTCCAAGATGGCCCCAGAACGGCCCAAGAGGCCCCCAAGACACCCCCAAGAGGCCACCAAGACGGCCCAGGAGGCTTGTAAGACGCCCAGGATGGCTTCCAAGACGGCCCTGGAGCATTCCAAGAGGGCACCCCCAAACGGCTTCCGACGGCGTCGGACGGGCGAGGGGCCCACCAAGACGGCCGAAGATGGCACTAAGATGGCCCAAGACGGCCCTAGAGACCTTCAAGAGGGCCTCCAGCACCACCACCACCGCCTTAACCCATCACCACCACCATCAACAACAGCACCACTCAACCACCACCACCACCACAGCCACCACCACCAGCACAACCACCACCACAACTAACCATCACCACCACCACAAAAGCTACCACCACAATCTACCACACCACAACCACCACCGCCACAACCAGCACAACCCACCACCACCACCACAAACCACCACACCACCATCACCACCACCACCACCACCACCACCACCACCACAAACCACCGTCGTCCTCGTCGACGCTCCCCGCCACCGCCGCCCGCCGCCGCAGGCGCCGGCGCCGGCCCAGAAATGGAAATAATCGTCCCCGCCGCAGTCGCCAGCCGCCGCCGACACAAGTGCCGGCCCGAGGAGAAGGGACGCAGAGGAAGGGGGGGAGGGGGGGGTCCGGTTTCACCCCACCCCCTCCAAGCGACCACAGAACGCGCTCTTTCCGATCTCGCAATCGATGTTTCTATCGTTCTCACGTTTTGGGACACCACGGGACACCACGGGACACCTCGGCGCACCACATCGATCTCAGTATCGATCTAAATATCGATCTCACTATCGATACCACTATCGATCTCACTCAACGGGACACCACGGGACACCACGGGACACCACGGGACACCGCGAGCCACTGCCGGACGGACGGACGGACGGGCGGGCGGGGGATGTCTTGACTTCGCCCTAGCAACGGCGGACACCACGGGACACCACGGGACACCGCGGGACACCGCGAGCCACCGCCGGACGGGCGGGAGAGGGAGAATCAGTTGTCTTGACTTCGCCCTAACAACGGTGGGTTCATTCCTCTCTCGCGCCCACGCAGCTTCGCCTCGCCCGCACGCAGGACACGAACGAGACGAAACGATTTCCTGGTTGGGGTCTCCGTTCCACTGCGATCTCACCCCCCAACCTTTGATGATAGAGAGGGGGCCAGCGGCAGGGGGCGAAGATCCTAACGTATAACATTTGTGGGAAACTGCATAGGCACTTAGGAGATCGACTCGATCGGAATATCGAACACATGTGAGACTGTGAGGACCGATCTGGGCCTCCGCACCAAGGTGAGACAAGCCGAGTGAAAAGCAACTGAATGCCCAGACGATGGCGAGGAGGCTGAGGAGGCCGATGGTGGTCGGGAGCAGCTCCTCCTATGTGCACCTCGGGCAGCGCCAGGGTGCAAACCTGCCTGGTACGGGCGGCCGACTCCTGCGACACGGGGACCCGTGCTACTGACGGCTCCAACTGCACGTGCGTCCACCCCCCCTCTCCCTTCTCTAGACGAGCGCGTTCCACTACTCGCAAAATCACTACTCGCAAGTGGCCTGGATCCGCCGCGGGGCATCTACGATGAATGACATCGAAGCAGTCATGTGTTTTTTCGGGCGTTGGCGAGTAGGCATTTTGCGAGTAGTGGAACGCGCTCGGTGATTCCCCTCGAGTGCCAACCCCTCCACCTCCATGCACAGGTGGTACCCGACTCGAGCAGGTCAGGCGTGAGGGGCTACGACATAGGGGGGTGGACTGGCACCATGGGGGGGAGACGTCGACCTGGCCTCGGCGATCCATCGCCGATGCATCGGCGAGAGGCCCCGGATCGTGAGCCTGCACGCTCCCGGGGGGTAGACTGGGGCCATCGCGGGCCCCACGTCGGCGGTCAGTGGGCGATCGGGGGTCGATGCGCCCCCCCCCCCCTTTTCCCCATATGCCTACGTGCCCCTCCCCGTAGATCCGATGTCGTGTTTTTTTTCAATGCGGGGTCCCCAGAAGTCTCGACCCCTTCCCGCGGACCAGTTTTTCATCCTGAGTCGTTTTTTGACGGTCCTGGGGCCTGGCGAGGGCCCCTAGAGGCCGAAAAAGGCGAAACACCTCCGTCTTGATTTTTTCAATACGTTGGATCTCTGGGTATGCCTACGTGCCCCTCCCCATTGCTGCCCCAGAAGGCGGGCTAGGCCGAGACCACCAGGAGCGGCTCGGGATCCTGACCCCGCCGCGCGAGCGGGCTGCTGCTCGGCACGGTCACCGCCCTCGACGGGCTGCGGCGCTCGCCCAGCGCCCTCGGCGCCGCCGGCAGCAGCGGGCCGGCCGCGGGCTCCTCCGGTGGCGGCAGGGCACAGACGGGCCATGGGAGGGAACCGGGCCCAGGGACGCACACGAATACATAGACACAAAAAACATGATCCCCCCATATCTTTCAATCGTTTTTGGATTCTCGTCTTCCCCCCCACTTCCCATGTTTTCCCGTATGTTCCTCGGAATCGACGGTGCGGTGTGTCTGTGTGTTTTTTCCTCCTGATCATGGGAGGGAACCGGGCATGGACCCCTGGGCCTTCTCCAGGACGAAGCCAAGGCGAAAATTAGCCTCGGGCGACAGTAGATCGAGAAACGCCGAGGTCCGGCAGCTCTGGACCGATGTGCCTCTGAGAGCGTTCCGGAACGCTCTGGAACGGAGGTATCTTCGTGCTGGCCCCGTCTGCTTCTGCCCTCAGGACCAGCTCCTGGCCCTGAGCCGTTTTCTGGCAGCTCCAGACCCCGGGCAGACCCCAGGCAGGGCCCCGAGGGCCCGAACGCGGCGAGAATCCCCACGACCCGTCTCCCCCAGGGCCCATTCGCTCCACGGCGGCCTTGGAGCCCTGCCGAGAGTGGCTGTCGCGCGGGCCGCCCTTGCCCGCCGACAGCTGCGGCATGCGGTCTGGCGCCGCCGCGGGGCTCGTCGAGCCCCGCGAGGGCGGCGGACCGCCGCCGGGCGGCGGAAGCCCGAGCGCGGCGGGCTGGGACCGCCTGAGGCTCGCCGGGCCCGCGAGCCCCGGCCCCAGCGGCTTCAGGGCCTCCACCCTGCCCCGCTGCGCCTCCGGGGCGCCCGTCAGGGAGCCCATCGAGACGCTCATCCGCGCGCCCCCGGCGCCGAGCCGCGACAGCCCGCCGCCCGAGGGGGCGGCGCCCCCCTTGCTGACCAGGCGCCTCCCCGCGGAGAAGCCTGCGGCGTCCGCGGTGGCGGCCAGGTCGAAGCGCGCCAGGCGCTCCAGGTCGCCGCCTCCTCGAGGGGGAGGGCGGGGGCGGGGGCGGGGAGGGGAGCGGGTGGGCAAGAGGGCACCGATACTCCACACCGCCTCTGGACCTCTCCAGGGGCGCGGCCGGACCAGGACCTCGAGGCGCGCCCAGCCGCGGCGACGAGGGCAGGGCACGCAGCGGGCGGGGCAGATTCTCCTTGCCTGGTCCGAACTCTGCGGCCGTCGCGGCGTGCCGCGTGTCGGCAGGACTGCCGCCCGGCCGACCCCTGCCCGCTGGGCTCACGGGGCAGCTCGCGGCGCCGAAGTCCAGGGTCACGGGGCTGACGGTGCGGCAGGCGGTGGGCGAGCGCTGCAGCGGCTGGAGCTGGTGGCTAGGGGAGGCCGCCTCGGGGAGCTGCGGCACCTGCTGCGGTGCGCTCGGCTTGGCCGCGGGGCGGTCGCGCACGACGTCCTTGTGGCCACGCAGGGACCCGCTGTTCGCCATGCGCCGCAGAGCGTCCTGGTACAGGCGGGCGAAGCAGGACATCTCGTCGCTCTCCATCGTCGCCGCGAGCTCGGACTCCTCCATCACCTTGTCCACAAGATCCCCGTGGCCCGACTCCCGCGCCAGTGCCCTCATCTTGTTGATCTGGCGGCGCAACCTATCTATGAGGGCAAGCATGTCCACTCTCTCCGCTTCGAGCTTCTTCTTGTCGGCCCTCAGTCTGGCAATCTCTGCGTCCTTGCGCTCCGTCCCCTCCTGAAGCTCCCTCGCGCTCGTCCGGGAGCTCTTCTTCGGCGAAGGCTCGGCCTCCTGCGCCGTGGCCGCCTCGGACAACTGGGTGCCACACTTGCTGCATGTCGACGCCCCCGAGTTCCGGTCCACCTCTAGAGGAACATCAAACCACATAAACATAAACGTTTGGATGTCCGCGCGCGAATGTCTTGGATCTGCGCTGGACCCCCCCTCCCTGGGGCGCGGAGCGCGCCAGGGGCGGCGCAGGAGGCGCCGCCAGGGGAGCCACAGCGCGGATCCAAGAAATCAGCGCGGGGCGCCAAAAGTTTATGTTTATGTAGCTTTTTCTTCTTCGAACCTCGGCCTGCAGCCTGTGGTTCTTCTGCTGGAGCTCGTCGAGCTCCGCCTGCAGCTGCGCCCTGGCGGCCACCCGCGCGGCCTCCCTCGCCCTCGCCTCCCCCGAGGACCCCCTCGCACTCGCCTCCCCCGCCTCCGCGCGGGCCCTCTCCAGCTCAGCCGCCCTCTCCGTGAGCACGGCCTCGAGCTCGGAGTTCTTCTCCCGGAGCTCGGCCTCCAGCCGCTCGAGCTCGGGCGCGAGCGCCGCGTCGCTGCCGCTCGACCCGCCTCTCCTCCGCAGCTGGGCGGCCTCCTCTTCCTGCTGCTCCAGCAGGCGCTTTGCCTCGGCCAGCGACAGCTCTGCAACCCTGAGTTTCCTCTGCAGGTCCCCGTTCTGCTTCTCCAACTCCACCTCGCGGCTGCTGGGCCCCCCCTTGAGGTCCCCTGCCACCGAGCGCTCCTTCAGCTCCTTGCCCATGTACTGGAGGATGGTGTCGAACTTCTCCTCGATGACGCTCCGAAGATACTCCTGCTTGCCTTCCTCCTGCGACCAGCGCTCGTCATCCCACCACAAAATCTTTCTGGCCCTTCGGCACGTCACAATCTCCAGGGCGACCCGCATGACCGCCTCGTTGGTGTGCTCCAGGCTCAACCACAGTGTCCGAGCCATGTTTCTGACCCTGTGCGTGTCCGACAGATTGCTCCGCCAGGCGGCCTCGTCGACCTTCTTCCCGAGCACCCCCAACATCTTGTCTTTGATACTCCCAACGCCAGACAGGCCGCCGCCCAAGCAGCTGTTGAGCCGCTTCAGACCTTTTACCGAGCCGACGCCGTCATCGCCTTGTTTCGTGGCAAGCATCATCGCGACAAGGTCAGCCTTGGTGCGGCACCGACTCACGCCCGAAATACGGAGCCTCTGGCAACTATACACGCGCGTCACGCTGGCGCAACATACGCCGCGCGCTTGAGCCACAAAGGCTATGTACATGTGTTCCCTCCTCCCGCTCTTTTTCATCCTCCACCTGGCGGGTTCCGGAAGCCCTGGATCCAACAATGTTGGCGTCTCGCTTTACTTCCGCCTCATTTCGCTGGCCTTCCCCCGCGTGCGCCAGCGAACCCGCCCTCGTTTTGTTTCCGCCAGCTTCCGCCGAAAGGCTCTTTCCGAAGGCCCCACCTCGCAACGAAAGCTTTGGCTCAAAGTTTGCGTAGTTCGCACCTTCATTTTCTTGGGAATCCTACGGGGACTCGTCTTCGCAAGGTGGGGATTCTATCAATCTCCGTCCGCGCTGTTGCCACGGAAGCCTCTGCTATGCTGTATCTTCGGGGGGTCTGTCCCTTCGCGCCCCTATCCGCGTCGAATCCGCGCCGAGTCCGTGTCGAATCCGTGACGGGCTTTACGTCAAATCCGCGTCGAGACCGCATCGAGCCCGCGCTGGGCACAAAGAGAAGACCCCCATCTCGGGGACCAGGAAGAGGCCTCCCCCGAAGATCCCACGACACCTCTGGGGTGGAGCGCCAGCCCGCCCCCCCGCAGGCGCAGGAGGAGGAGGAGGAGGAGGAGGAGGAGGAGGAGGAGGAGGAGAGGAGGAGGAGGGAGGAGGGGAGGAGGAGGTGGAGGAGGAGGAGGAAGGAGGAGGAGGAGGGTGGAGGGAGGAGGGGGAGGAGGCGGAGGCCCGAGGTACCACCAGAGAATGGCCTGACCGCCGAGCACGAACGCCCCCGCGCCCCCTGCAGGTGGCCCGGAGCAGGGCCCTCGCCCGCCAATCGGCCTCGCCGCCCTGCGCGCCCCTGCTTCTCGGCTGCACGCCAGAGTGGCCCTTCCTCCTCCTCCTCCTCCTCCTCCTCCTCCTCCTCCTCCTCCTCCTCCTCCTCCTCCTCCTCCTCCTCCTCCTCCTCCTCCTCCTCCTCCTCCTCCTCCTCCTCCCTGCTCCTCCTCCTGCTCCTGCTCCTGCTCTCCTGCTCCTGCTCCCTCCTGCTCCTGCCTCCTCCTCCTCCTCCTCCTCCTCCTCCTCCTCCTCCTCCTCCTCCTCCTCCTCCTCCTCCTCCTCCTCCTCCTCCCCTTTAGCAAAACGTGGCTTCGTGAAACCGACCTCGGGCCCAAAACTGGCGGGAGCAGGCCTGGAAAAGGACGGCCGCGGCGCCCTCTCGAGAACCGACGACGGACAATTCACGACTCGACGTGTCAGGGTGGGGGTCCTCTCCGCCCCCGACCCTTGGCCTAAGTGCGGGCCCCAGTCGCGCAAGCCGCTTCCATCGCATCGCATTCTGCAACGGGGGGGGGTGCCCCACTGGGCCCGCACCAGGGGCCGATCCCGCGAAGGGCCACTCTTGCGCGTGGTCGATCCCAGACAGGACCACACCGCAGAGCACGACCGCCTCCCCAGACCCCCGACGTCGTGATTCGCACCCCCAGAGGTCTGGACCCCTTCCCGGGGGACCGGCTCCTCGTCCTGAGTCGACTGTTCACGGCCCCGGGGCCCAGCGAGCGCCCCCGGAGGCCGAACATGGCGAGAACCACCGTCCCGTCGTGATTTTTCAGCAGCGCGAGGAGGCCTGGGTCCGCGCCCCCTGCGGGTGCCGCGGAGCAGTGTCCGCAGCCGCCCTCGGCCTCGCTGGCCTTCGTGCGAGGCGGGCCCGCAGGAGCCCGGCCTGCGCGGCGCAGGCGCCCGCGAGCGGCACCGAGCCTCGACGCAGCCGCGGCCTCCTCTCTCCTCTCGGCCACGGCGCCCCGTGCTCGGACCGACCCCGTAGGCTGCCATGCCGTACGCCACTCCGTGCCGTGCACGGCTTCTTGCGGCACAGAGTTAGGAGGCAACTGCTGGGAGGCCTTCGTCGGAAGGACTGAGGAGGATTCGGCCCTCTTGGGGGGCTGTTACGCCGGAGTGAGCCTCGGATGAAGCGGGATGAAGCCAGCTGCAGCGGGATTAAGCGGGACTAAGCCAGCGGGATTAAGCCGGATTTCGGACCAGGGCAAAATCTGAATTTGACCTCCCAGGAGTTGCATCCGAAACAGAACACGCCCCCTTCTGCTGTTAACCCGCCACTCACAGTATGTGCTCTCATGCAGCGTTGCTGTTGCGGAGCTGCTTGCACGGTGCAATACTTGACGGTCCTGGGGCCGCTATGGGGGCCCCAGGAGGCCACATACGTTGCCGAGCACGGCCTCCAATTGCACGGTGCAGCGTGACGGCGCCGGGGACCGGTTGGGTCACCCAGAGGCCACTATCTGAACACCTTCCGTCCTGGCTTCCGAGGGGCCTGATATCCTTGGGTGGACCAGCCCCTAGGATGGTCGACGAAAATCAATTTGCATCTGCGGAATGCAGTGGGAATTCGCCGGCCCAACGGGCCAGGGCGTGCTAAGATCGCCGGTACCTGGTTAACAGTATTTCTAATTCACGCGCGCGGGGCGGCCCCTGGGGGTCCCCGGACGAAAAGTACCCCGGCAAGGTCCCGGCAAGGTCGGGTCAGAGATGCCGGAGTTCTGTTTCGGAGCCCAAGAGGGCTCCAGATCGGTCCAAGAGGGCCCCGAGAAGCTTTCTAGACGGTCCAAGAGAGGCCCGAGACGGCCAAAGATCGCCCGAAGACGCCCCAGATGGCCCCAAGACAGCCCAAGAGGCCTCCAAGACGCTCCAAGGGCCTTCCAAGAGGCCTCCGAAGAGGGCCCCAAGTTGCCAAAATCGTTGATTTTCATTGGTTTTTTCTATGTTTTTTGCGTTCTGGCCTTTTCGCTTCCGGACGCTCCAAGAGGGCCCAAGAGGCCTTCAAGACTGCTCCAAGACGGCCCACGAGGCTCCCAAGACGGCCCCGGAGCGGCCCAAGAGCGCCCCCCAGACGGCCCAAGTGCCGCCCAAGGCGGACCAAGAGGCCCCAAGACGGGCCCAAGAGGGGCTCAAGAAGGGAACCGAGAACTGAGAAATCGAGCCCTCCGCCCCAGAAGGCGCCCAGGACCCCGAAAGAGACCCCAAGAGACTCTCCAAGACACCCCCAAGACGCCCCAATAAGCTCCCGTAAGGCCCCAAGAGGACAAACAACGTCAGGCCCCAGGCCCCAAAAGGACCAACAAATATCGCCAAGAGCCCGCCGAAAGCCCCCCAAGAGACCGTCACGAGGCTTCAAAACTGCCTCTAAGAAGCTCCCGAGACACCCCAACAACGCTGATTGCGGTGAAGCGCCGTGAAGCCCCAGGAGGACCCACAAATACCGCGAAGAGACCGCCGAGGGCCTCCCAAGACCCTGAAGAGACTTCAAAGCTGCCTCTAAGAAGCACCGGAGATACCCCCAACCGAGACGGCCCAACCAAACCCATCAGCCGCAGTTACTCCGATCACTGAGGCAATCGACAGCCGTGCACCAATATGGGCCGGCGGAATGAGCGAAGCGATTAATAATACAGGACACGGGCGGTGAGGAGAGAGAGAGAGAGAGAGAAAGGAGGAGGGGATGAGGAAGGAGGGGCGGCGAGAAGGAAACAGCAAAGCAGGAGGGGGAGGAGGAGGAGGGAGGAGGAGGAGAGGAGGAGGAGGAGGAGGAGGAGGAGGCAGGTACTCCTCCTCCTCCCCCCTGGAGCGCCACCGAAGCGAGCACGCGGCGTCCTCGCTTCCGCCGGGTGCGCCGGGAGAGCCGGGATCGCAGCGGGCACCCCCTGCCGGGGCGGGCTGCTCCCGTCGGGGAGCAGCGAGGAGCTTCGGCGCTCGTCGGACGGTGGCCGGGTCGGGGCACCGAATCGAGTCGGAGCGAGCATCGGATCGGGCCGCATCGGATCGGCTGCGCCCAGATTCGCGACTCCGCTGTGCCACCGTCGGGCCGCATCGGATCGCCACAAGACACCGACATCGATTCGGATCGGGCCGGCGGAAATCGACGTCGAAGCAGATCGATCGGATCGAGATGGACCCTGGGACGGGAGGGGCATCGGGCAGGGCGAAGGTTGCTCGTCACCACAACCCCGGGGGGGGCATAATGGGTTGCCGGACGCAGGCGCGGAGGATATCCCGCGAGAGCACGCCAAGCACGAAGCACGCCAAGCACGAAGCACACACCACCACCACTGACTCCACCTCTACCCTCCCTGGAGGTGGTGGCGGCGATGCTCGGCTGTCCGATGGGGTGGTTGAGCAGCGCAGGGAGGTGGGGAGGGGCGGCCGGGAAGGCGAGGGGACTGGGCGGTTGGTCATTGCGTGGGCGGGGGCCGTGGAAAGTCAAGGCAGGGAGGGCAGGGGGGGGACGTGCGGAGGGGGGGGGGAAGAGGCGGTGGCAGAGACGAGGGCGGAGAGGCGAGCGACGGCTCGGTCGGGGAGGAAGGCAACACGTTCCGCGCTTCATCTCGGGGGCATGGTCGACAGACGTGGCGGGTGGGCCCGCCCCCGGTCGGGTTTCCGCCCCGAGGCTGGGAAAGGTCCGCGGACAACGCCGTCACGCCATGAAGCTGAGAGTGCAGGAGAACGAGCACGAGCGGGACAAGACCAGTGCACCACGGGCCCTGCGCGCTGCGCGCTGCCACCCTCCCCTCCCGCAGTGATTCCTGCACCAAAACGCCGAAACGAAACGAAGCAGTGGCCCCGGCGCTCGCCCCTCCCTGAGCGTGTGCAGTTATGCGCACGCGACGTGAACACGTGGCCTTCCCCGCACAGGGGGGGTCTCCCTGGTGGTGTGGTCCACCCCTCTCGCCCGAGACATCCCCAGCCTCCAGCTAGGGGAGGCATCGTGGACCTCCTCGCTGGAGGTGGGCCCCCTGGTAGTGTTGGTGTCGCATCTCCCCCGCCCGGATACTCCACATCTCAAAACAGCGGGGGTGGGGTCAAGCAGGTGTTCGACAGCGGGTCCGGGACCCCCCTTCCCAAGGGCGGTGCAACAGCGGGCCCAGCATCGAGGCCCACCCACAATCCCGCTCGACGAGGCCCGTCAGACCCCCTCCCAAAAAAGCAGCCCCCCTCCAGAGGTCCCAGGAAGCTTTCAGATGCCCTCCTCCCTGTTTCAT